CAAAAAATGAAATATGCTAGATATTTTGAACTACTATGCATTTTGTTCCAGGGGAAGATTAAATTAATCCCGGGTCAATGCAGCACATGTCAGACATTGTGAAATTTGAGGTGAGAAACAAAAATTGTTTCAAAAGTGTTTGTCAGCAAAATCTCACACTATTCTAAGTCACAGAGGTCAAAACAGAACTTCAACAAGCTTTGTAGATTACTTTTTAATGTTAAACACTTTTAAATAATAAGCACTTTTAAAACAAATAAGACTAATTTTCTCTACATTTATAATGGCTACTATATTATTTCCTAATATAGTCATTTTTATAGCAGCATATAATAATGTTTCTGTAAATAACTACCAAAAATATTCTGTGTCATTATATGCTGCTTTTTAAACGGGTAGTCTACTTATTTTTAAATATTAAGTTCATTACTATCTATCTATCTATCTATCTATCTATCTATCTATCTATCTATCTATCTATCTATCTATCTATATTTCTGAGCATTTTATGCATAGCATATTTAGTACACATTTTAATATGTAATCCACTGTACATTGTGCCTTTTGAATTCACTATGAAGGAGACTGACTCCAAAGCTCCAGGCTTCAGGTCAATGAGCTCATCACATCACTCGGCATGATATTGGTCATTAAGCTTTCACTGTTGTGGGCGTGGCCTGTGTGGCTAGAGCAGTTACACTGGCGCATCAGGAACGCCTTACAGCTCACATAAAAAAAAAAGATGGCCGACACGGTTCTGCGATGAGAGCGATTCTACAGAGCGCAAGCAATACTGCACATTATGACAGCACAGAGAGAGGAGGGCTGCACATCACAATGAATCACTATTCCCTTTTCAAGGCGCCTGTTCACACCAATATCATTACACACTGCGAAGGCCTCTGAATGACTATTACCACAAAATGACGCTTCTGTCGAGCTCTCTACGAACAACATGGCAATTTCCAACACCGCGTTCTGGCTGAGAAGAAAATTTGGTGGGTCAAATTAGAGTTAAATTGACAAGATGCACAACTGGGTGTTTTCTAACAAGGAACACTTGAAGAGTGAGGCACCTTACTATAACGCGAACATTTTCATAATGTCTTTCGCTCCTCCAGCATGTCTGACAGGGGATGTTCTCCTGTTCTAATTCTGCGAGGATCATGACAGCTCTGGGCACGTTATCTGGGTTTACCGTTGGGCACGGGGCGACAGAAAACCCCGCCGCACGTTGCCTTTTAATCTGCAAAGCTCTTAATCACCACATCACGACGAGCCCGTCTGAGGATGGGCCCGCTCAGATGCCTGTCTCCAGCAGCGACATAAACTATTGGAGGACTTCTGTTTTACCAGGCCCGAGGCGTCTTCCCCACACCGTCCCGATCAGATACCGCAGGTCACTGGTTTGGATTTCGCGATTCGGCGAGAGCTACTTATCGGACGCTCCTCCGACGCAGCCGGGCGCGGCCCACGGTAGCGCGCCACGTCGCCAGGCCCAGGCGCTTCCAAGCGCATCATTTATCGCGGCAAATTGTTCGCCGTCGGTCTACTTCAAGACTCTGACGCAAATTTAGTGGGCCAGGCGGTGAAGTTCGGCACCCACCATGTTAAGTGGTGAGTGAAAAGAGGCGAACTGCGGTTTGGGAGATAAACATTCCCTCCAAGAAGCACAAGGTGCAGCTCTGTTGACTAGTTAACCCCTTGAAATTATACTGTAGTTTCAGACCCCGTTCAAAAGTCCTGAAATTGGGTTACAAGATAATTTCACACACGACTTGTTTGTCTTACTTGGCAGTTCAACTGGCTAATTGAAGAAGGGAAATTCCAGTCTCTGCTAGCAGACTATATTAAGACTGCATGTAAACTTGAGTGGAGCATCATCTTTTGACACAGCAAGTCGTGGGTTGTCAGTTTTATGTTTTTGTCGGGGGCATGAATTTAAAATTTCTTGGAACTCCAGTGACACAGAAACTCACTGTAATTACATCGTTTCTCTGGAAAAAAAAAATGACTGATAATAAAGGATATAGAATCTTCAGAAGCTTAAGCGTATGTTCAGTTTGTGTAAAGAAAAAATATAAATTATGCCATTACTGTTTAAATACACAGCAACAATCTATAAATGCATATACAGGCTGTATAAGGCTTTCAATTATACTGTAAAGGTCCCAGTTGACTTCCAAAGTACACTGATTTAAGTAGTATACTGTATTTCATAAAGCTTATAATCCAAGTTGCAGTGAACATCTTTTGTAACGTTTCAGTTACATCTTATGGGTTTGGACCTACTCTGTCGGCTCTCCAGCTCTTAAAACTCCCAACAGCCATTTTATGTCACTACTCCCATAAATGTTCAGAGATGCTTCTGAAAAAGGAGTTTCATCTTAGAGACACAGTGTCAGTCATACTGTAATCATTCAAAACGCACAAAGGATTTGTGAGTGATTCAACACAGTATAAACCACCAACACTGCATAGAGTGCAATAATTAATTATAAATAAAGATTAGTTACAGACAGGGAATGCATTTTTGTTGGACGAATTTTAACTGTTAAGGCCTCACACAAACAAACCTCTTCAAGACAAACATGTTTGTTGGAAAAGATATTTACCAATGGTGTGACTTTGCAGCCCCTGACACAGATGGAGTGGACACATCCCTTCCGTGGGACATAGACTCGTTTACGCTCGTTTCATGACAGCGAAGGACCCGTCTCCAGATCCTGCAAAGAAAACAGCCTAGTCAAGCTGCAACCTTCAGCGCAGGAGGTCGTTCCAGACACATCTCACTGTGACAATTCTTGAAGTTGATGAAGTATTACTTTTATTCAAACTGAATTTTATGTATAATTTTATGTATAGATTTTGGTATTACATAAATATAACGATTTATATTTACCTTATATAGTAAAACAAATACAGATATATATATATAATTTATATATGTCATGTTTTATTTAAATGCATGTCCATATTCACCTATTACAATTAGCTCAAGACTTTGCTATAAGAAATATTTTAACTGAATATAGAAGTACTACTCAATATATATATATAATTATATGAAAAAGCAATACTTGGATGCTATCCCCATACAGCTGCAGCTAAATGTGTGCTAAATTGTTCAGGTAGAGGGTGGAACAGTCGATCTCCTGGGACTGGAACAAGCAATCCTCAGGTTACAAGTCCAGCCTCTTAACCATTTCAGTACCTGCTTTCTGCCAGGCCCAGCTACACCCAGTATGATCCCTAACGTAAATCAGAGCAAATAAACCATCACATATAGCATGAATATACAAATATATAACACCATACACAACAAACAAATCTCATAAAACATGCACACAGAACCCAGAATGTGATTTGGGAACTCTGCCTTTTGTATTTACGCCTCCTTGGAATATAAAACTGGCAGAAATGTAACATGGAATGCAATTAACAATGTGATGGAGTACTGAAATACCGCAAATCAGAATTTAGTCTGGCATCATGATACATGAACTGCAGAGCGTTAGAGAGGATAGCGTTAATATACCGAAAATGAATATGAAAATGCCATATGCCCTAAATCTAAGCATGGTACGAAAAAAAAGAATGAAAGTTATTGATCTATTGTAATTGAAAAAAATTAAATAACAAACAACGTTCATTCATTATTAACCGTCAGTAATTTAACTTATTTTTGTGCAATAACGTCGCAATGTCAACGTTAAGATATTGCTGCAGCAGTAATATTCTGACATCACCCATGCGATTTTTAAAATCAATGTCTAATTATTTCAGTTTATTCTTTTCAGCGTATCAATTACCTTCCGATTTAAATAAAATGCCGGTAATTTTAAATTCAATCATTCATGTAATTATATGTATATATATTATACGTAAGATGTGTATTTCAAACTCAGTAACAAAATTTTAAAGATGTTAAATAAGTTAAGCTGAAAATAAAAGATAGATTTAAACATACAAAAAAAAACCATTGAATTACAAATCCATAGTCACATTTAACACTATGGATTTCAGCACTGTATTAAAATATCAGCGAATTATCTGCATTAGTAAACATTTACTCAACAGGTTGAGAAGAAACACGGAGAGACATGCTATATTAATTCATCTTAAAACCAGCAGGCAGGAATAAATACAGATAGTCAACTGAAAAGAATTAATATAACCAGCAAAACACTGGGTAAGGTTCATTTCTAAAAGGTGTTCACATTATCTGTATTCAGTAAAGTGCCTGATTACGACAGCATGAAAAAACACAATATAAAGTGCTGGACATGTTAAGTCTAGAATAGGATTATACCTTCACTTTTTTATTATAGCGGTGCCGTAGACTTACAAACAGCCAAAGACACATTCACGGGCAGATTTTGAAAGCGTCACATTCACACAAACAGTTCCCTTCTAAGGCCTGTTGTCGTCACTTATTGATTTCATTCATACTCCTGTACTTTACAGTTTTACTACTGAAACTGGTTATCCCTTTTATTTATCTCAAATGAATTGTTTTAATGCTGAACTTCATTTTATTTACTGCTTCAAATGAAATATTTTAAAATGTAGTTTTAATGAAAATCGTGCAGAAACTACACGGACGCGTAATTCGCTGTAAACAAATGCATGACTGCTTAATAAATGCAAAGCCTTGTAATAAGTCGTTCACTTTCAACGACAGCACATTTTAATGCAGATCTGTAGTAAAGAATAAACCTGTTACAATCACTTGAAATTCAACAGTTTGGCATGATCCTACAGTATATTCTTATGCTTAAGAGGCATACCCAGAGGCAGGCTGAACTACAATAAATTGTAGGGTAAACCGATGTCCACTTGTGGCCACTATTATCATTGACCATCTAACTGGGGACATAATGAATAGGCACAACATGCTAACACTTCAGCTACACATGGTCATTCAAGTTCAGTTGCTCTGAGTACGGCACCCGGGGAGGTACAAACCTTATCTTCAAACAAAAGCGCGAAACGCTTTCACCTCTTCAGTCAGTCCGTGCGGATCGCAGCTCAGTGCAGCTCCATCTCGGAGAGCACCAGAGAGAAAGAAAGAGTAACGGGGGGGGCGAGCCAGAAAAGGAAGGAAAGCGGAAAAGAGAAGGGGCGAAAACAGCGAGAAACACACTGAACAAGACTGACCGCATTTCGCCCCTTCCGTTTGCCTTTCAGCACAAATCCCAGGCATTGATCGGCGCTTGGATGAACCAAAACCTATCTATCTGTCAGTCTTACACCTGGATCCACTGACCGGCGCGGAGCAGGCATGTCCCGAAGAAAGCAGAGCAACCCAAGACAAATCAAACGTAAGTTTCCCAGTTTTCATTTGCTGTCAATATCAAATTCCATTTGTTGAAAAAGTTTTATAATGGTAAGGAAGGGGATTTGAACACCCAAAAGATGTTTCTCTGACTGGTACCTCAGACCTTAATGAATCAATGGAATTAATTTATTGTTTCGGTCTATTTAATTTGATCAAATTTGCTGCGCAATCGAACTCTTATTAATTAATTACTCCAATAAATATAACTTTAATATCAGATGTATTCTAAGATAATTGATATCTTACTATACGTATAGAATGACTTACTTGAAAAGTTCGACCTGAGAGCTGGGCAGAAAATCATAAATATAGCCTACATCATTTTAATATGTCTGCTAGTCATGTTTACATGCTGAATAAACGTATCGCCTTGATTTTAACGGACCAGTTGATATTTAACAAGTAATATAGCATGTTGTCGTAAAACACACCACAGATATTGTTGTAGTATTCTAAAATACTATATGGTACAGTATGTTTTACAGAAACCAGCAGTGCAGTTAACTGTGATAATGTGAGTGTTTATACAGTAAAACGTTCGGTTGGACTTTGTTTTAGACTATAACGACAAACCTTTACAATAGTAAATTGCATTATTGTTATTATTATTATTATTATTATTATTGAAACAAATTTGACAATGATCTATTTTTATAATGTAACATTTGTAACTATCATTGAAATTCAATGGCCAATGTCAAACATTTTGGCCAAAATAAAAAAACATCAAAAATGTAAATATATACCTTAGCATTTAACAGCATCAATTTTAAAACTGTTAATGGTTAATTGCACAGTGTATACGTAAAGGATAGTAAATGGCTACCCAGATTTAGTGATATCCTGCCTCTTCCTGAGAACTACAGTTGTAATTTAGATAAATATTAACAAAATCATATATTTGTAATTATTTCTATGAGTCATGAGCATTGCTATGCTACTGAATAGTTTGCCTAACAAGGCCTAACAAGGCAGATGCTGATTTTAGTAACTGTTTTAGGAGAAGTGTGTTTCACCACAACAATGTTAAGCACTGGTAATTAGGATAGAAATAAAGCCAGTTATTATATAATAACGATTATCAACCTTTATGTTGTTCAGCAGGGTCGATATTAGTAGCATTTTTCCCCAACATTTCAAAACATGGAGGCTTTGTTGTATTTTCCACTTCTATACCGACTTCTTTCTGGATGTCTGTTGCTGATCTTTTGAAAGATGCTAGTTATTACTGCTCTGCATCGTTTACTGACATACAAATCTGAAATGATTAAGTATAGGATGCACACCTTATGAGAAGTATTCTCTGAAAATTATTTTTAAAAAAGTTTAATACCTTTCGGAGGTTCTTGTTTTTGGTCAATTGCAAGGACTGACAAGGTGGAGCGAGAGGGACACTATTAATTCACATTTAAAGTTATGGTGGTCATTTAGTGTACAAGATTTTACAGTTTAGCTTAATAATCATGGATATGTGTGTGTGTGTGTGTGTGTGTGTGTGTTTGTGTGTATGTATGTATTATGATATATATATGCTTTTCTTTTGGTGTTTTGCACATACTGTACAAACACATTTTTTTCAGGACAATATTCAGAACAAGAAGCAAAAATGAGTGTGTATATTTTTTGAGTGTTTGGTCTCTGACAACATGTGACGAGGAATGAGTTTTACTTGGAAACAGCAGTTTTTAAATTGAACAAATGAATTACAGTTGATGGTGAACAAAGTACTTCTGGTGTTTTTTCATGAGACTTTACACCTTTTGGGAGGACATCATTTTAATTTCAATGAACAAATGCGGTACGTTACAGTATGTCATGTGGATATTTTTAAGCTAATTAATTATGCAACATGGCATTCTTTTTACTTCTAATTTAATGGTTTAAATGATCAGATTAAGGTTACTTTAAAAGGTTTTTGTGTTATTATTACGCCACATAATATTTTTTCCCAAGAGGTTTAATTGTCAGTTCCTTTCGAGCAAAGATTCAGTTATAAAAGCCTTTGAAATGAATAAGTCCTGTAATAACTTTTATTTATAACTGTTTGAATATAAGAAGCCATTAGAATGTCCTTTGGGAAAAGAGGCAACCTCCATTTGAAACAGATCTTATCTAAACCTTCGCTCTGCAGCGCGCTATTTATTTAAATGTCTGTGTTCGAGTGAGGAGCTCTGTTTCTCTGAAGAAAGTAAGCAGTAATTACTCTTTGCATTTCTATTAAATCCCTGCTATCTGCGATGCTGTGTCGCGGGGACCATGTCGGCAATGCGCGTCTGTGTCGCTCATCAGTCGCGACGCGTGTTTGAAGAACGGTGGTGGTGGGGAGGGGGGTTTGTTGACCTCTTGGATAGACCAATCAGAGTGCACCGTTATGAGTTTTTGGGGTCACATGGAGGGTGGGGTGCGGGGAGGGGGAGGGGGGTGCGAGTGATAGGATGACACCGGCATTTGCCCGCGGAGACCTACACCGATGCGTGTGTGTATGTCATGTCTGTGGTGCACATTTACACAGTCTGAGAGACAGCCCCAGGTTCCGGGAAGAAAGGGAAGCAGAAAAGGTCAGGAGGAGCGGCATCGTGCGCTGCGTCCCCGGCAAACTCCTCTGAAAAGCGGCAAGACGGAGCAGGCAAAGTCAGACTAGACAGTCGCTGTAAAGGACAAAAAGGTTGTTGGGCACAGTGCCCCCCTCCCCCACACATACATTGCCATGTTATCTAAAATTGTGATTTATGCAGTATTTTAATATTTTGCTTATTCTTTCCCCTTGGGTGCTCTCTGAGCGGCGATAAAAAAAGGCAGTGCTGAAAGAGCACCATTAATTTGCTCCGATGACTGGGGAGATAAGCGCAGATAATGGGAAAGATAAGCAGGAGAAGATACACCATCAGAACCCCGATTATTACCATTAAAATTCCAGCCCTGCAATCTGCAGCCGGCTGATAATTCCTTCTCCGTTTCCACCACTTTGGATGATAAGGCAAAAAATAGTCACTCGCAGCTCCTTGATTAGGTTGCCTGGATATCCCGATAATACGGTGATAAATTATGTATTTTTCCCCTTGTTTTTTTTTCCCTGTGAAACTTTACGTCTGGTTTTTTTTTCTCCCATTTTCTTTTCGTTACATTTCTGGTGCTTCCTGTCCCCCAGTATAAAAGGGAGAAAAAAAACATACACCTTTATTGTAATAAGAGTTTGATAAAAAGCTCCGATAGAGGAGGCAGTGTTACGTATGGGAGCACATATCAACGTTATCAGCCCATCTCCCCGGCCCAGCTGCTAGCTGCTGTTGTTTTAAGCCTTATCACCCCGTGCCAATATACCAATAAATTGCCCGGATTGCGAGTCGTTCCGCAGAGAGGCCGGCTAAATTTATGACAGGAGAGATGAAAATATTGCCGATAGTCTGCGGATCGTGATTTGCGGGGATATGGTGCCGTGTGTCCTCCTGACCATCCTGCCCACACCCGACCCAAACCCTTCAAGTCCTGCTAGCTCGTGGTGCGCAATCCACTGTCCCCTCCAGCCATCCTGCAGAATGTATTGTGATGCCTAATTAAGAGACGCATGGTTGAGTGAAGTGAAACTGAGTCTTTCCGGGTCTCTGTGAGAAAATTGGTGGTGATGGTGTGTCTGTGTGTGTGTGTCGGTGGGGGGGGGGCATTCTGATGTGCGGTATATGAACTTTAACTGCATTTGGGTTCAGGACTTGAATATGGTCTCAATAAGGATATTCTTGAGATACTTTGTATACACATACAAATGCGAAGTTAAATGCACAGTACAGCATGGCATGCAAATGTACAGTAGTACAGGACGTACTGTATCTGTAATGGACACTTAAATACAATGATTATCATATATGAATTTCACCTGTCATGAGACATTGTTGTGTAATAATTACAGTATTGACAATAGTTTCATATTTGGTGATTATGACAGAAGGTTTTATGCCTGGGTAGTTATTTGTTGGCAAAAAATATCCGAAATACAAAATGCCTCTTTTTTCTGAACTGTGTGTGCACTGCAGATGACTGCTTTGTTTTGAAATGCTGGAATCCACCAACAGCAGAAATACAATTAGTGTTTGTGGAATGAAAAGAACAAAAACACTAAAACTTTATGCATAGACTTTCTGTGCAGTTCTTAACAATAATACCAAAGATTATTTACAAACATTAACTTCAAGGATTAGGCTGTCTGGGAAACAGAGAGGATGGGGCGGTCTAAGAAGTTCTGTTTGTTCGTGTTTATAAATTCTGTTCATTCCTTTATTTATGTATCTGTGTTTTATGAAACAGATGACTTGAAGATTTTATTTTTCTGGTGTCCTGAGTGGATGAAAGCAGAATGGGGGCGGGCCTAGCGAATTAGGGGATGCATACCATTTGTGAAGCACAGCTGTCTATCTTTTTTTTACTCGTTCTCATTGGTCTGCAAGTGCTAATGGCACATTGTCCATGTCGTGGGTAGTACTTTTTCTTTTCTTCATGTCTTTTCCTCATCTTTATGGTCATGTTTATGTGCACTGTTGTTGTTTTTTTTTTTTTTTCCTTTTTCTTAATGCTGCAACACGCTGTCATGGTACACAGATGGAGGGCCGAGCCCATATCAGCTGGTATTTATATTCTTGGGCGGTCTTAATCAGAGGAGACGTCCAGTGGATAACTGGCGTAGTACTGGCTGCCAGTGTTTCTGGAAACCAGGGATGTGTAGTGTGACTGGAATTTTGGGATCGGGGGGATTGTGGGGGGTGATATTGCTGTTAGAGCCTTTGTTCCTCCAGACCGGAAGTCTGATTCACCATGTAAGAATATTTTTGGTGACTGTGCATCCGATTCCAGCAAAGTTTTGTGCTTGTGTTTATTTTCGGTGTCTCTGTGGCGCCTTTGGTGATGACTGAAGAATTAATAGCAAATTTCCTTTTTACAGTCTAAAAAAATTGCGTCTCGTGAGGTGGGGGCCTTATTTTGATGGAAAAGACA